ACGTATGCATACATATATATGAGTACGTATGCATACATATGTGTGAGTACGAATGCATACATATGTGTGAGTACTTATTCATATAAATGCAGGATCGTATGCATACATATGTGTGACTACTTATGCGTACATATATGTGAGTACGTATGCATACATATGTGTGAGTACTTATGCATACTTATGTGAATACGTATTCATATATGTGAAGGTTTGAATGCATAAATGTGTGACTACTTATGCGTACATATGTGTGAGTACGCATGCATAAATATGTGTGAGTATTTATGGATAAGTATGTGTGAGTACTTAAACACACACACACATACATACACACACATACATACACACACACACACACACATATATATATATATATATATATATATATATATATATATATATATATGAATATATATATATATATATATATTATATATATATATATATATATATATATATATATATATATATATATATATATATATATATATATATATATATATATATATGAATATTCCCTGAAATAAAACTTGAATACCATTTCAGAGATGGACCTATGTTTTTTCCTCAACTTTTCATACACTGTTTTATGGATTTTAACGCCATTTTCCAGCATAAGGCAGGCTGTACGCGGCTGCCAGTATGTTTGGGTTTGGGCGGTTAAAAATACAGAAAGACCCCGAGAACTGCCACGAATATACGGGAAACCAATCGCAAGCTTCTTCATACATACGTGTTAGCCGAACTGAGACTCGTATCAACTCGGTCTGATGTTAAATGTCAATGAGTTGTAAAGACGAGAACCTTAAACCACCCATGGCATGGGGTACTTGGCTGGTGAAAGAGAATAAATATGTGCGTCTGAAAAAATATATACATTAACATAAGACCAACAAAATACGCATTCCTAGGAACTTGCTCTCTCACCTGCTTTTTGATATTATTGTATTCACTCCCTCCCTTTCTATACTTGACTGACATAAACTTGAATGAAAGGCTCAAATATTAGTAGCCAGAAAATTTTATATCTACATTTCGTGTGAGTCAATGATCAGCCAATTCCCAGTTATGAGATTGATTTTCGATTTTTGGGGTGGTTATCGCCTATTTATTCAAAGCAGCTAATTTTGGATGCACACATCGGTGTACGCTTTTTTACTCTTACCGGAATTTCTCACCGCTGCGGAACTACCGTCGGCTGATACGTACATTATATTTCCGGAGCAACTCCTTTGTTTAGTGACCTGTATATCCATGTGGAATAGCATAACCATTTGTTCTGTGGCCATTTTGAATTTCGCTAGATATGGCTGTTACCAATTACCGGCACGTGTCTAAAGAATACACAAAGTTGTTCCGGAAAGATTTGCATGCAGGACCATTGCACATATTTAATGAGCAGGTGAAATCATACCCACATATCGTCAATCAGTATCAGCAAAGATGGGGGACGGCTGATTTATGGGACTACACTTCGTGATTCTTACTCAGGTGAAACAAAAGTGTTAAAATTGCACTGGACATCTTTGGAAGAAAGGATGACAAAAACAACGTGAATGGAGAGGTTTTTTTACTTAACGTATATAAAATAGAAAAATCATATGGAGTTTTCTGATTTTATTTATATTTCTTTATATTGTTTAATCTAAATTTTCCAAGTGTGATGCTTTTAAGATCCAAGCAAAGTCCTAAAATTCGGATTTACTTTCTGTAAAAAGAAACAAAAAGTATTCTAAAAACGTATAAAAAAATTTAAGCAGAATAATTTGTGTAGCAGATACATGTACGGTTAATACATGTATACAGTAGTCAGTGGCTGAAAGTAAGTGTGTTATAGCTAAAAGCGTACCGAATAACCTACGAGTCAGAGGACTTGGTGATATGTAAGGTACGCCAGAAATTTGCTCTATCCTCCGAAGCCTAACATATATGATATACGTTCAACCCACCCACACCCACTGCTTTATCCACCGTAGCCTAACAGATCTGATCTACCTCCACCCCACCCTACTGCCGAAAGAAAATAAAAACAAAATTAGTATATAAAGACTATATGACTATCGTAAACGCACTGCACCTAATTAGCTACAGTTGCAAATATATATGCAAGTACCTTAACATCGTTATTAAATGTCAGTGACGTCAGCGACATTCACAACTGGTTGACACATCGGATTGACTCTTGACTGATATCAGCAATTAAAATACAGACGGGGTAATTTCAAAATAATACACATTTGAGCAAATCTTGCAATCCTATAAAAAAGACCACAGACGGACAGACAAATAGATATACATACTTACTATATGAGAAGGTAGTACTAAGCTGTAATTTGATCATTAACTATATGTTCACATATCTAATTGCTAATATTACAAAAAAGCATTGTTATGCATCCGTCTAGTTTGTAGACTACATGCGATTAGGAGATTATAAGATATTCTGCATTTTGTTCTATTTTGCTAAGTAGAACGTACATTATAACGACAACGATTATTTTCAACAACCATGATTACTCTCGGTTACTTGGAAAATACTTGGATGAAATTATTTTGAGATTTGAAATCGCTGTTCTCTTTTCTTTCTGAACATATGTTGTTATGTCCTAACTGCAGTATATCGGCTCTTGCAAGCCATAAAAACAAATATTTTGAGTGGCACCAATAACCACCGTAATCTCATTTTATCTAGAAGTCATGTATAAGAATGGAATGGTGCAACATAAAGCGATCTATACGTCAGCTCCCTGCTGTGGGTCTGAAAACTCCACTAATCACCATAATTTACTTATAGTTAAACTCTTAATCATTTCAAAAATCAATTAAAAGAAACAGAGAATGTGTTTATCATGCACATTTTTCAACCACAGTAAGGTCTGCATTCACAACACCCGAAATATAAATTTATATACGGTATTATATTATGAAATATGATAACGTCTCTCCATAGCAGCAGGTGTTCTCTGTCCATCAACACGAACACGTTGACTATTTTTTCAAAGACTTTTCGCTTCTTTCTTTCAAAGCATAATTTATATGTTGGAAACATGTTTGTTCATATTCCATTAAACGTCTGCTTTCATTACATGAAAGGGACAAAGCAATTTTAGGCTAATGCCAATATCTGATTCAAAGAGCCATTGACCAGGTATTGCATGAAATTAGACAGCGTAAATTCAATTTAATAGCGTCGTATTTTTTAAATGTCTATTGTTCAGGCAATGCAATGCATTATGGGGGACAAGGGAAATTCACGTTAATTCCATCGTACGGTTCAATGTGTCTATTGATCAGAATATATCTACCTAATCTGGTTACAGCAAATACAAGAGACTTAAAAAGATTACAAATCGTATTCGTACTTGTCACTGAACTGGAAAATAAATGCCAATGTTATCAATGTAATTGTTTAATGTCTCTTAACCTTACGTGGCTAGAGCTTAACGCAACAAATACGTAATACTACGAACCAAATGCAGTTATAACTGCTGGTAAATTAACCGGAATACTTCCGGTTGTATGTTGGTGTAATGGTGTCAGTACTAAATGGCTGATATTTCTTGGCAATTGCGATTAACTCATAATAAGTATATATTCATTTATTATTTGACAAAATCTGAAAGGAATGGATGATTTTACGTATTTGATGCAAATGACTCAAATAATTGTGTAGCCTTATCCAAATATGTGGCCGAGACTCAGCATGGATAGTGTTTGCAAGAGTATGTTTACGAAAAATATCAATTACTAGAAATATAGAATATATAAAAATGTTGGATTGAATATAAAGGAATTAACAACTAATACATGTGTGTTATTAACGGAATATTTCCAAACAGAACTTTACTGACTAGAAAATGGTTTGCTTTTTGTTTCATCTGGCATTCTTATTCCAAATGAATTATGGCATCACACGCTGAGAAACTATCATGTGTATTTTTATTAGCACGATGTTGAATATGAACATTCTTCTATGTGCACATGGCTGCATTCCATGCCATTGGCACATTAGCACATTCTATACTAGAGGCACATCAACACATTGAAGATTGAAATTTGTTTTTAATACCACTGGAATTCAATTAGAAGATCATAGATTTGGACTTGTGACAACGTATAAGCTGTTTGCAAACTTTCACTTTGTATCTAGTGAAATAAATTATTTGTTGAATTTAACAAATCTTTTGGTTTTCGCTCTTTCTGTTACACCAGGTACCTCATCCATAGCTGAAACAAAATTGCAAGCATTCATTCCTGAATAGCAGCTAACATTATGTGAGTCAAGCATTAGTGTTGGTGAATACATACTCGTTTTCTGGGCTTCTCGCAATAAAAAGCCAGTTTCAAAATAAAACAAACAGGAAATCATAAATAAAACGTTGAACAACCACAAAAAATTGCAATTTGATGACAGATTGCAAGAGCCGTAAATAGTTACTTGAATACTTTTATGCAACGGCATAGATTATTTTCAAATATATTATTTTAATGTCTGATCTTAAGAGAGATTTGCGGCGCAAAACACAATTTTTAATTTTGGGGGATAAACATTATCATTCATTATCGTTACCCACAACAGAATAATTTATGTCTTCAAAATTTTTGACTATGTAATCTTCATAAACCATTAGGAAAAATGTATTTTTACCGCAAATAGACTGAATTTCTCACAAAGACGAAAAAAATACCTTCATTCTCCTTATAAGAATGAAATATTTTCCAGACGGAACGTATTTGTGTTAGGGCCACGGAATGCATATTTATGTGGGGAAAAAAAGTATTTTATGCAAGCCAAAGGAAGTACTTTTGTATGTAATCAAATCATTAATGTTGCTGGGAAGTTCAAAACATTAATAAAAAGCAGGAATAAAAAGATAAATTACAGAAAGAGCATTCAAAACACAAGTGTTTGCAAAAAATGATTTAAGGCACTAATAATAATTACTTCCGTTGAAGTGCACGTTACTGGACTCTAATGTACATACTCTGAACAATTCAAGAGCTCCGGTGGCCTATTGGTTAGAGCGTCCGCCTCGAATGCGGGAGGTCGTGAGTTCGATCCCCGGTAGAGTCAAACCAGAGACTTACAAAATTGGTACTAAAAGCTTCCTCGCTTGGCGCTCAGCATGAAGAGGATAATGTTAGGACTGGTCGGTCTGGTGTCAGGATAATGTGACTTAGTGGGACATCATGCTACATGTCTGCGGCATGATGCCCCAGTGCTAGACATCACTATAAACTGCCACACTGCAGACATCGTAGCGACATGACTGAAAAATTGCTAAAGCTTCGTTAAAAATCATAATCACATTACATCACAATTCAAGAGCGAACAACTGTAAACAGAAAGGTGAAGTTGGGTCAATTCGTTCCAACGTCCAAAAAAGCAGAGACTCTACCAGCCGGATCCATCCAGACAGGTTCTTCCTATCCTCTAAATCCTTGGTTACAAAATCTAGGTCACTGTTTCCTATAATTTCGTCCCAGAACATGCAAGCTACTATACACTATGTGGATTCCATTATAACTAGTTTAAACTTTCATCATACCAACCATAACACCATCCAATCCAATGAACGTTCAATCATTGTCAATTACCACTTGAAGTGAAAGGCAAGATCACCAATAAAATTACATGTGTAAATTCCACTGAAGGATTTAGAGGCCATTGTTATCAGCTTGATATCCATCTTGCTTCTTTTCTTATAAATACTTATCAAATAAACCTTTGATCACTAAATCCAGAAATCCCTCGCTATATTGTGTCAGTTTCACGTTATTACAGGATAATAAATGGACTATGTTTTAAAAATGATTGCCTTTTGGTATTCTTGCGCAGCGTGGTCAAGTTCATAAACTGCAAACGCTGTGAACTATATTTTCAATAGCTGTTTTGTTTTTGAGAAATAATATATTCATCCATCGTAGTTTCAAGTTTACCCTGAACTTACATTGTTTGAGAGAATTATATGTACTAACAATCCGCCATTTTGACGTTGACCCTTTTTTATTCAGGAATGTTAGACAAATATTTCTTTATTGTCTTTTGCTGTAGGGTAGGCAAATCACTCTATCAAAATAGTGCGGCATACACAAGGCAAAATCTGTTGTCTGACATAAAAATGCAGACCTTTGCACAGAACCTTCCTATCGTACACCAGTACATATGGTGGATTGAACTATTTCCTTGCTTTATCCTAGTTTATATTATCCAAATAAATCAGTGTACACGGTTGGTTAATGGTACGATAAATATAATTTCCTGCAGGAAAAGCCGACGATGAATTATCTGCAAGGTTTACATGATTAAATTGAACGATATCTGGCGTTTTAAATGGGAAGTAGAAGATTAAAATGCATATAAAAGGTTAGACAGACATCTTGGTTGAAGAATTACTATAGATCTAAGGGTGGTTTCAAGTAAAACTGAGAGTGACAAATTGTATGTGTGCCCATTACCCTAGTGTATATGGTTATTGTTATGTAGTTTCTTTCAGCAATCTTTTAGAAACTTTAATCGAAGATGAACTTACATACTGACTCTTAGCAAAACCATTGGTATTATAATAAAGCATGACGAAGGTCAATATTTTTAAAATTACTCGCCCAATAAAGTCTAAATAATTAATTTTTTAATGAGCATCGTTTTCAATCCGGGCATAAAAGATATTTGCTGATGCTGGCTATACATGCTTGAAAGGAAATTACCCAACAAAACAAAGAAGAAAATACTTGTCAAAGGTCATCAACTGTGTCAGCACTAGTCCCAGACCTTATTGATAGCAATAATGTTCGTGTAGAATGGACTACTGGTATAATTACCTCCCTTTACAGTATATGTACCAAAACACTAGGAAAGTTACACGCTCGTAATATGTAAGTATCGTAATGAGAGAGATACCATATATACTCGCTTATAAGTTGAGTACAACTGCAAACAAACTTTACCTGATTTGATGTCGCATTACGCGTCGGCAGACTAGGGTCTATGTTGTGCGTTCTATTGATTACTCGGATCTAACAGTGCATTCTCAGATGGTAGATTTTGGTCTGCTTGTTCATTATGAGATGGTCGATCTTGGTCTGCTTGTTCATTATGGGATGGTAGATTTTGGTCTGCTTGTTCATGAGATGGTAGATATTGGTCTGCTAGTTCATTATGGGATGGTAGATCTTGGTCTGCTTGTTCATTATGGGATGGTAGATCTTGGTCTGCTTGTTCATTATGGGATGGTAGATTTTGGTCTGCTTGTTCATTATGGAATGGTAGATTTTCGTCAGCTAGTTCATTATGGGATGGTAGATCTTGGTCTACTTGTACATTATGGGATGGTAGATTTTGATCTGCTTGTTCATTATGGGATGGTAGATTTTGGTCTACTTGTTCACTATGGGATGGTAGATTTTGGTCTTACAGTTGCAGTTGGAGTTGACTTATCAGTGAGTAAGGACGATAAGTGACTTGATTTAAGACATGATTGAGAGGGTTCTACTAATATTAATTTTATGAACTCACCAAATAGTAAGATTTTTTTGAATGATTGTATATGTTGTTATAATACATATACTAAGTACTACCTATGATATTATACCTTTCTTCCTATTTTTTATTCTACCGTTATAATATATTCATAATTTTCGCACTTGCATCAGGATTTGTTTAAATTTATTAAAATCTAAGTATGCTTGTACATTCTGTCTATTTTTAGTTTGCAATGACTTTTCGTGGAAAATTTTAAAAATGTGCATTTTATTTTTGGGAATTAGACATGGCACATTAAGGCTTAATTAACATACGGGACCATTGCAAAATTTGGCTGTAGTTGTCAAAAACTGACTTTGTCTTTGGCAAATGTTTTAAGATAATATTAACTAAAAAATGTACTCCCATAATCAAATATATATTTTTATTATATTTATTCATCTATCTGTTTATCTATTTTTCTTGCATATGTTCTTGTCATAAGTGGTTAGAGCGTCGGCATCCGATGCAGGAAGTCTCGGGATCGAAACCCTCCCAAGTCATACCAAAGACTCTTCTCAGATGTCTCGCTTGGCTGGTCGGCCTGGTTTCAAGATAATATAACTGGGTTGTAAGCGGCATGATGCCGCAGTGCTTGACATCACTATAAACTGCCGTTCTGGCGACATCGTAAGGATATGACTGAAAAATTGTTAAAACTATGCTAAAAATCCAAATCACAAACACACACACACACACACACACACACATGTTATTTTGATTGAACTGTGAGGTAAGATGACACGCTATGCAGAACATATGCGATACAAACGAATTACATTATCGACACGCTATGCAGATCATATGCGATACATACGAATTTCATTATCGACACGCTATGCAGATCATATGCGATACAAACGAATTTCATTATCGACACGCTATGCAGATCATATGCGATACAAACGAATTTCATTATCGACACACCTTGCAGGACATACAGCGGCAAGAATAATTTCTACATATGTATAAAGAAGAAGACTTGTTTTGTACCTAAATGTGACCGAATGATAATGCAATGTAAACTCATTTGCATAAATACATAATTAACATTGCTATTAGCGTAGTCCTGTAATCATTTAACCAGGCCAATAATGCATTATTGACTTCTTTTTCTTTTTCTTGTTTCTGTTTCTTTAATTCCTTCCTTTTTGTTATGTTTTCTTTTACATGTGTCGACTTGTTAGAATCATTATTCTGCCCAAAATTGTACAAAAAGAAAATTCGTCAAATAGTGTTTCATCGAAATATATCATCAGTATATTACTATTTCATCTCGTCTTTCCAGATGGATTATGGCCAACTATATAACTGATATTATGAATATCATTAGAAATATCAAATAAAATATGTCAAGAGAGTCGAAAAGGGCATCAAGTGCGCAGCCATCTTTGCCACAAGATCAATTTTCAGACCTCATACTGACTGTATCGTACTACGCCATGGGGAATGAGATAGTCTGGTTTGATGCTAGCTTTCGAACTGTTTAAAGTTTGACCATGCTTAGCAGTACTTAACTGCACCACATTCAAACACGCGGAGTGTAGTTAACTTTGTGCCTAAGTACTTCTAATTCATTTATCTGTTAATCTTATTTAAAGCTCGACAGGTCCGTATTTTGTGGCTTTACCGATATTCTTATTGCTTACTTAGAACATGGTCGACTTGGTTTCACTGTACCGAACTTTTAACGTTTCAGTTAACTTAGACGTTTGTTGGGTTGCAGGAAAGACACGTTATAATATTAAGGTGATTATTTACCAATTATACTTCCATTTACAAATTTACTCAGATTTGTATATTTGAGTCAGGTATGGGGAACCTGCATAACAGGATATCGTTAAATGATTTGCGCAAGTCTATTCCGCTCAAGCGTTAGTTTAATATGTTAAAATGTTATTCCGGCTGCAGAACAACATGCACATGAAGTTAATGGGTGCACTACTTTCATTTCCATGACACTGATTTAGATTTCCACCTTGTTCGATGTTTATTTCTATCACATTTTGTTCCAGGGATAATTAATTTATGAGGCCAGATGCTTTGCAAATCATAGTTTATATTTTAGTGATGCCTGCCACAAATGTGCTGCAATAAAAAAAATGGTGCAAATGTAAAATCAACAAAATCATACTTATGAAAACTGTCGAATAAACATCATTCTCCAGTCAGACGCCATATTATATAATGTGTCTAATGCTGTATTTATTTATTTATTTATTTATTTATTTATTTATTTATTTATTTATTTATTTATTTATTTATTTATTTATTTATAAAATTTTGGAGCATCAATGAGTTTTGCATTGTAGGAATATTTTAGGAATTTTTTGCTGTAATACAGACCTTTTGTGTCAGCTGTTAATTCCTTCCTTCATGAAAGTTTAGATTTGTATAGATTTAATCCTTATTTCCTCTACAGATCATGATCAACTGAAAGTATTTAAGACTTTCTTACAAAATAAGAAATCTCGGAAGACACGGAAGCATACATAGTAAAGTATCAGACCTTTATTGCAATGGTCGCGAATTCGATATCCACACAGACTTGC